TTTAGAATGACTCATGATGGAACAAAAATCTAATTTCTCTTCTTCAGATAGTAAAATGGTAACGTATGTTGCAAATGATAATTGCATTTGCTTTACTGTTGGATCAGACTATCATAGCTGACTATTATCCAGGAGCGCTAGGTTACTCTCTCTTTTATTAGACGAGAGGACTGCATGCCCAGCAGGAAATAGGCTCATTTCGTATTTGAAGATATTCTCCAAATCCCTTTTGAGAGTTAAATGGAAGCAACTTCTTTCCTTTGCTTAGCAAGAATCTACAGCTAGACTTCAACAGTCAGTGTTGAAGCATCTAGGAAGTTCTCATTTTCAGCTTCCCGAACTGCTATTAGAAAGTAGATATATGCTTTCTTTTTCTTCATTTGTTTGTTTGTTTCTGACGACTTAATAAATGAAGAAAACAATCAGAGAATAAAGACCCAGGAAAGTAGCATTTTTGTTCAACTGTAATGATTAATAAAATGCAAATGAGCTTTAAGGGAAACACTATCTGCAACTAGGATAAATAGTGCCTATTCAGTATACCCAAACAAGATTCTTTTAACACATTTGCTGCAATTTCATCCTTGTAAAACCTGGCATCCTGATTAGAATGCAGGCTTCTGTCTTCCAGAGTGACCAAAAATGAACCTGAGCCCTGAACAAGGCTTCACATGCACCTCAGACTGCCTCCAAAAAGTGTATTTTTTTCTTTATTTCTCTTAAATGTTGATGGGGTATTGAATGACTGACAGGTCCAATCTCTAATCATAGAGTATATTTTACTGGATGTTTGTGGTCCATTTGCAGTGCTTTTGATGCAGGCAAGGATGGAAACGTGACATACCTCCAAGCTTCTCTATGAACAAAAGCCTTCAACTCTTATAAATTCCTGCAATTATCTTTCTGCAACATTGCTGGTTTCTTGCCTGGAGTCACTTCTATGATGTGTACCATTTTCTTTCAAATTCTTGAAAAACCACAAGAACAGGAAAGAGGATACTTTTGATCAATTAATTAATTCCTCTGCTGCTTAATAGCTGAAGAGCTCTGCATGGTTCATAACTATTTCTTGAAGTGCAATAAAAAGAGATACAATAAAATACGGATGCAATAAAACATAGTATAAAATTTTAGTATACAAATTTAGAACAGTCTAAATTTTGAATAGACAACATTTAAAACAGATTGAAACAATTTCAATAAAACGAGACATGATTAAAACAACTGGCATAACCCAATGTATGCCATTAAATCAGAAAAGAGAAGGTGGTTTTAACCATAAAGACATGGAAAGGTCATTGCATAATTTGAGTGGGGGTTTCACTACTGAGAAGGCAGTTTGAGGATCATAGGGTCCAGGTATATTGAGGTCCGGAGAGGGATTCCAACAGGTATTGTGCAAATTACTCACCCCCTTTAATTTGAAGATTCTCACATAAACACACACACACACACACACGCACATATATAAACTTTAGAATTTAGAATCAGAATGAACTTCACTAGCACCACCTGCATCATGTCTGCCATTCTCAGAATAAAGAAGAAATGGGGATAACTGTGTCTTTATTCTGGATAAACTCGAAATGCCAAGCCTATTGTTATACAAAAATCATATTCTTTTGAAATTTGACTAGCTCGGTCCCTCAGAAGAGGCAAACATCCTTGCATATTTCATCCAGTTCTGCCAGGAGCTTTTAAAAGTTGTTGGCAGTTCCCTTTAAAATAAAATCAAAAGATAAGAGTGCATGTCATGTGTGCATGCACCATCATGCAAGTTGGTCCATGTTTGTTAGAGGGATTACAAGCCAGGGTGTGAGTTCAGATGTGACACTGGACTTTTTTTGCTCTGTTATATTAACTTTACTTGGGCTGTTCCTGCGCAATAATATGGCTGGGATACTCAAATAAGCTGCCTTAAATTCATTGTGAAAAGACACTAAGATAACAATTTTCTATGCAGTGTTCTATGGCTTCTAGCATTCCCCAGTCAGCAGGACCCCCTCACTTTTTTCAGACATATTAAAGCCTGTTTGGGCACAATGCAGATTTAGACCAAAAAAAATGTCCTATGATTTCCTGCATGGATGACTGTGGAGTGCTAAGATTTGAATAATTTTTTCCTGTCTGAGTATCCATATTATTACAATTTGATGACATACAATTCTTTTTAGGTTCTGTTCTTATTTTTCTTTGGGAACTTACATGTGAAAGAAGGCTTTTCATACACAGGTGCTCAGACTGAACATATCTGACACCTCCAAGCTACACTGGGAGTGCGTTAGTTTCAGCCAGTACAAACAGCAATCCAGGATGTGATAGGATCAGCACAGATGGCACAGTGCAAAAGAATGACTGTTGGAATAAACAGGGAGTTTTTTCCATGGAGAACTTCAGACAATCATTTGTCATGGTGAAACTAGATGGGTGGCCACTAGCATCTTACATGTACCTTTTAAAAATAAATTCTGAATTGGAATCTAAATGGAAATACTTCTGCTAGAAGATACTCTGATTTGAAATATTCCAAATTATACATTATCGAGATAAATTTACAGTGTTCTTTGAAACCTAGTTGATAGAAAAATATGTTTCATTACTAGTGGATAAGTAATCACTTTGTCTATGAATGCTCTTACATTGGGTTGAGAATTATGTTCCTTCAAGGTCACTGTAATTATTGCTGAATGGGTGTAAATTGAACCAGAGGGTCGGTGATTACATCAGAAAAAGGATACACCAATCAGTTGGAAATGCTTTCGAAGGGCAGTTTCAAAGAACCTTTAAAATAAAGTATAGAACTACAGAAGAATTTTGAAAGGATACACTTAAATTTTGATGGCTGTTTTCATTAGTAGAAATTAACTATACATAAAGTGGCTTAAAAGCAATTTTGCTAAAATTGCTAAAATAGACTGTGATTTCCAGTAAATGAAGTGGGTGAACCCAGCTGGATCAACTTATTTATATTTCCTAGTAGCAAGTAAGAATCATCAAATCCTGCTGATAAAAGAACCAAGGTTTGGATAAGCTTTTGGGGCCATGGAGACATTTAGCAATTTGAGAAACTGAACACAAAATGGCTGCCATGGGAGCAGTGTGGAAAAGTACGAGAAGATTGTCCAAAAGAAAGAGGTGGGGCTGAGTGACAAGACACTAAACAATTTGTTGGGATTCAGTTTTGGGCACTTAGAAACAAATTTCATAGCAATCCCAGCTGTCTTTAAGATTTGAATTAATTTATTGATTTGCTTGAGAGGGAGCCAGTGGCTAAAACAGTGTCTATCCCTGAAATAACATGTCTTCTGGTGTTCCCTAGTAGATGCTACTGCTTTTTTTTTCTTCAGAAGGGGATATCTTCTTTCAATGCATAGGGAGGAAAATAGTGGCTCCAGTCACCTTGGAAGCAGAATCACCATGGAGTATTATTATTATTATTATTATTATTATTATTATTATTATTTATAACATTTTAACAGTTTTCAGCTAAAAGGGTTGTGACTGGGGAATTCAGGGACGTACACCTGCAACTACCAGCAGCCTCTATGTGGTAGTGGAGAATCTGCAAGATCCTATGACTTCTGTAACGCGCTCTACGTGGGGCTACCCTTGAAGACGGTCCGGATACTTCAATTGGTTCAAAACATTGCTGCCAGGCTGCTGACGGGGACTGGGCATTGTGTTCACATGACTCCGTCAGCTTCACTGGCTTCCCATTGAAGTCCGGGCCCAATTCAAGGTGTTGGTGTTGACCTATAAAGCCCTAAACGGCTTGGGTCCTGGTTACCTGAAGGAGCGCTTGCATCCATATATGCCCAGCCGCCCCTTGAGATCGGCGGGGGAGGCCCTTCTCCAGGAACCCCCCGTGAAAGAAATTAGGAGGGTGGGTACTCGGAGGAGGGCTTTCTCTGCGGTGGCGCCTAAGTTATGGAATGAGCTCCCCAGAGAGGTCTGCCTGGCGCCGAAAAACAAATAACGACGACGCCAGGCGGACCCCTTTTTATTCAAGCGGCATTTTAACTGTTATATTATTGGATTTTATCTGGCCAGGGCGGCTTATTTTATACTGTATTGTTGTATTTTTAATTTAATATTTATATTTTTAATTTATATTATAATTATTTTAACTTAGTGATGTAAGCCGCCCCGAGGCTTCGGCGAATGGGGCGGCATAAAAATGTTTTAATAAATAATAATAAAAATAAATAAATATGAGGTTTAGGCTCCCTTTCCTGAAATGGTGGGATTGTTCTCTGAAAAACAAAGTTTGCAATCAAGGCGTTCTGCTTAGAATCAAGGAGTGGATTCAGAACCATAGACCTTACCTGATTAGATGCCACCATCACCCTCCATTACTTCTTGTCAAATCACTAATTCGAAAGTGCACAACTACTGTGAATATATTGCTATTATTTCTCTTTTTAGGTATGTGTCATGAAGACCTTCTAGCTGCTGCTTCTAACATATTGTACTTGGATAATTTTAACTGATGTTACTTCCAAGTAGCATGAAATTCTCCCCACCACACACACTGTATTACTTAGAGGAGAGCTACCTACATCAGATGATTTAATTTTCATCTCATTTTAACTTTTCTTTCTAAAATACATGACTGACATGAATTTTATGAATACTATTTTGTTGGCATGTAATAATAAACTCATTTTTAAATATATGAATCCATTTGCAATCATTTCTTCTTTATCGCTAACAGCGCACTAATTTGATCATCACAGAATATTTTTTGCATTCATTTTGCAACAGCAAGAGGATATAAATTACCTTGGACTTTCTATTTAACTATTTTGTCACTTGTTTCCCTCCACAGTGTTTCAAAATGAGAGTGACAGCAATGGCTTCATTTCAGCAAGAGAGCAATGACGGATGCCACATCAGGCGGAACAGTAAACCCTGTGATGATTTAAAGCAATCCCTTATCCAGAGTTTTCTTAAAACAATGAGAACATTACTAATTAAATAACCTTCTCCCCTCTTTGCAGGTCTCCAAGAAACCCAGAGCAGAAGATCATTAAACGAGTGATTGCCCTTGAAGGCGACATTATCAAGTAAGTATTGCATACCACTGTCTTTGACTCTTCATGAGAATATTCTAGCACCTTTTCAGTTGGTTTAGTAGAATTTTAGTCAGTATCTCAGACAACGATGACATTCTGTCATTTTTGGGTTCTGCATTATTAACATGGAGTGCTGTAGCTTCGTTTAATGAGACAAGAATAAGTAGACAAAGATATTCAGGTATTTCTGAATATGAACATAAGAAATAAGTCACTGTAGTTTCATTCAGACGTCACTTTAAACCAGGAATCTTGAGCTGACTATCCAGTATAGCCTGGTTTGCACATGACAACAACTCAGAGTATAGGTTGTGCTTGGTTTGACTGAATTGTGGGTTGTTGTTAAAACATGAGTAGTTAAGTGTGAATGATGAATAATGGTTTCTCTGTGGGTTGTTAACCATAAACAACCCAGGAAGAAAACTCATGGTTTGTTATTATATTGTGAACTCTGTCTGTGATCAACAGCCCATTGCTTAATTGTAGGGCAGGGTTCAATCATAGTGAAAACCCTGTATTCATTGAAAACCCAAACTCAACAATACTGGATGCTGGCATTAAAGTGAGCATCTTCTTACTTATCTACCTGCACAGTCACCAAGAAACTCAAATACTTTGGCCATCTAATGAAAAGGAACAACTCACTGGAGAAGACCCTGATGCTGGGAACAATTGATGGCAAAAGGAGAAGGGGACAGCAGAGGATGAAGTGGCTAGATGGAGTCACTGGGGCAGTGGGTATGGGCTTGGGTGGACTCCAAGGGATGGTGGAGGACAGGAGAGCCTGGAGGAATGTTGTGATAGGTCAGGCATGACTCCACGACTAAGCAACTAATAGTCACCAAGGTCATTGGAGGTCATTGGATAATCTTCTGATGTTTCCACATGGACCTATGGTCTGACTTTAGCTTTCAGTGAAGCAGCTCCATTTCTTTGGAACTTCCCTCCTGTGGAAGTCAGGTAGGCACCAACACTATGCTGTTCTTGGCACTTACTGATGACATCTTGGTTCTGGGAAGCCTTTCTTGCTGACCAGTCATGAACATAATGCTATCCTACATGTAATGCATTGTTTTATTCTTCTAACTTTTTACTGTTCATCGCTCTGTAATCTGGGTAAATTTGGAGCAGTATTCAATATAAAATTCCTATTTTAAAAGTCTATTCCAACGGCCTTGATGAGATATAGGTATCCAGCCAGAGGAGGAAGGAAGCTTAAGAAGGCAGAAGGGTAGAGTGGGGAAGATGAGAAGATCAAGTCAGAAAGATATAAGAAAGCAGCAGGTAAAGATGGATACTGGAGGACAGGCAAGTAGAAAGAACAGAGCTAGGACAGGCACTACAGAGGCATGAAAGAAGTTAGAGAAATGCTCACCTGGCTGCCACTTCAACTTTACCTTTTGTTTCTGGAGGCCAGAGGAAGGAGCTTTTCTGACTTCTGAGTAGGCAGATTCCAGTGCTCCCATTGTGCTCTTTGAAGATCAAGGTCTTATGACGGGACTAAAAACTTTTAGGGGAGATCTCAAGTGAAGCTTGCCTAATCTTCAAGGGTTGGGGATCTTGTTCAGTGAGGAGAGATGTTTCCTAGATGAGAAGCTACAGGGGAGCTGCAAGAAAAGTAGCTGCTTGCTAATGGACCAATCCATGCCTGCCATTGTTCAATGAAGATCCTGATAACATGATGGGATCTGAAGGGGTTCTGTACTCTAAACTTTGATACACGGTGCAAGTGGAGGATACCATATTCCATATAGACTCAGGATTAGTGCTGTAACTAGGCTGAAACTGAAATAAAATTTCTGTCCAGAAGCATGTTTAGCACTGTTATTTCTTTGGAGCCCATTGATCCAAATAGGTTTTATGTGCTCCATCCTAACACAAACATTCCCGCTTTGGTCCTCCTTTGCACAGGCAGATCAGGAAGGCAATGTGGTTAATTACTCCCAAATAAGCCAGGATCCTAAGCCAGCTCTACACTAGGTTCACAACTTCTGGCTTGTGTGGATGCATTTGATCATAATTATGCATTCAGATACCATGCAAAGCTTTCAAGTATTTATCCTCTGTCTCAAAAGGAAAGGCAAAACAGGCATGGCTAGCTTGCCTCACTAGTATCTTCTTGTTCACATTTTGGCAATGGCTGAACATGAGCATATTTTATTGTGCAACCATACTAGTTTTGTAGACAAAATAATGAGAGCATAAAATAAAGTCAAGTTTATAAATGCCTTTTTATTTAGACATTTGTAAGAGCCTTAATTTCCTTTGCTACAAATAGACTACAAATCCATTTAGGGAATAAATTATTGATCTTTCTAATTGTACAAATAAGACAAAATTAATAAATATTTAGAGAATAGGATGTTATACATGGATACATTTGATAAACACAAGCATTATTGAATCAATTCATTAAATGATTGAGAATTCTGTATATTAATTTGTACTAGCATCAAATTATTGCAAACGGCATGGATTTAATTCCTGTGGCTCTCAACAAATAACTATAAACTTTTTGTAATGTCAGTTTTCTGGATCAAGCAAACCAAATAATTGTGGGCAAGTTAGGTGCTAGGCTATTGGCCCATGCTCCAGGTGACTGAAGTGGAAGGAGATTGCCCTCCTCCCTGATGCTGATGGGAAGGCAGTGGCCAAGGCAGGGAGTGCTCTTGCTCAGGACTGCGATGGGAAATGCTCTGGCTACTTTGCTCTCATTGGCACAGTGTGCTGTACTCAGAAGAGGCAGCTGGCCAGTGAGTGCTTATTCAGGGCTACATCAGGAACCTGCCTTCACTATTACGTCCATGTCTGGGCCAAGGCATTTTGAAATCTGAGGCAGAAGAGCAGACAGCACCCTCTCCAGGCCCAAGTGCAAAATACCCCGTGCTGGCCTGGGTATCTTGCCTTCAGTAAATCCCACAAGGGCTTGTCCTGGTCCCTGGCAAAAAAAATACAGAGGTACGCATTTGCTGCTCTTTTCCGACACTCAAAACCAGGTGGTTGAGGCCACTGCATCTGCCTAATGGTAAGAATGGCCCTACAGGCACCCCAGCAGTTACCAACAAAGGTGGAAATACCCTTTCCTCTGTGTTCCTGTAGTAACTCCCAGCAATTCCTCCTAACAGATGGCTTCACCAGCCACTACTGGCCTTGAAGTTGAATTCCATTAACTCAATGAGACTTTTGCTTGAGTAGACACGAATTGGATTGTGCTATAAATCTATCTTCTGCTTAGTTACACCTTTTAAACAATACTTAAAAAGGTAAAGGAAAATGTTTCCCCTTGACATTAAGTCTAGGGGGCGGTGCTCATCTCCGTTTCCTAGTCGAGGGAGCCAGCGTTTGTCTGCAGACGGTCTCCGTGATCATGTGGCCGGCATGACTAAACACCGAAGTGCACGGAACGCTGTTACCTGCCCACCGAAGTGGTACCTTTTTATCTACTTGCATTTGCATGCTTTTGAACTGCAAGGTTGGCAGGAGCTGGGACGGAGCAATGGGAACTCACCCTGTTGTGCAGATTCGAACCGGTGACCTTTCGATCAACCAGCCCAGCAGCACAGCGGTTTAAACCACTGTGCCACCAACCTGTACACACTAATAGTGTAAAGGAATGAATCTATTTAAAAGTAGCCTTTTCTGTGTCAAAAGTGTGTGATGGTAGTAGTCATTAAAAATACACATGAGTGAATTCATGTCATTAACTGAAACTTTCTAAGCCTTCTTCATTCAGTGCTCCAGATAATAGTAACTATTTCAACAGACACCTTGGTTCTACAGAAAACATGTGTGATAGCTGTTGATTATGCTTCATTTGTAGATGATGATGATGTATTTTCATTGAAGTGCTTAGTCAAATTTAGCACCTTAATTAATAAGATATGATTTATGCATTAATTTGCCCTCTCGCCCCCTGAGATCGGCAACAGAAGCCCTCCTCCGAGAACCCTCTGTGAAAGATATTAGAAGACAGAGTACCCAGAGGAGGACCTTCTCTGCGGTGGTGCCCCGTCTATAGAATGTGCTCCCCAGAGAGGTCTGCTTGGTGCCGTCATTATATGTTTTTCGGCACCAGGTTAAAACCTTTTTATTTAATCAATATTTTAATAAGTTTTAATATTGAATTGTATTATTGTATTTTATTAATTGCAGTCAGAGTGGGTCGTTAATTTATTTATGCTGTTAGCCATCCAGAGACATTAGTAACTGGACGGCATACAAATTTTATAAATAAGTAAGTAAGTAAGTAAGTAAGTAAATAAATAAATAAATAAATAAATAAACATGTTTGAATTTATTCATGTATGTGGGGAAGGCCCATAGCTTAGTGAGGGGCTTACATGCTTTAGATCACTACTTCATGCATGTATGTATTATCTGTATGCGCTTCCTTTTTTCCTTTAAAGGCACTCAAGACAACTTATATAAGTCTCCTCCTTTTCTCAATCTTAGCCTCATAACAACAATTCTGTGAGGTGGGTTGAGCAGAGAGTCTGTGACTGGCCCAAAGTCACCCAGTGGCTTCATGGCTGAGTTGGTACTAGAACCCAGATCAGTGGTTGCCTTAAACTTTTGCAGTTTGCCATTGCTCTGCGAACTGGGACAGCCCGTTTACCTGAGATCAGTTTCAGAAAGGCAGCTGGAGATGAGGTGTATCAGAATATAGATCCCTAACTCTGAGGTCAGAGCTCTGTCTCTGGCATTGGATCTAGGTATCTGAACTATCCTGTAGGACTGGGCACTTAATAGCTTCAGCAGATAGCAAAAACAAGATAAGGAACTTGTCAAAGCCCTGTAAGTGCAACTTCACATCCAAACTATAAGTTTTGGTTTTCATTAGTGATGATGAAATGATGTAGCATTCAGTTCTGATCTTTTAAATTAAGCGACTGCCAAGAATAACCATCATGGCATTTTTCATTTAAGATCTTGGTTCTGGTTTTTTGATGCTGAATACTGATTAAGTACTTGTTCCTCCATTAATTCCAACT